TCTTTCTCTTAATTCCTCTACAGTGTTAATGGACCTTGTGTACACTAGTGTCTCAAGATAGCCCCACAAAAGCAAATCTAAACTGTTCAGGTGTGGGGACATTGGTGGCCATTCTTGGGGCCCACCGCGGCCAATCCAAGGACTTGGATACACTGTTTTTAAATAATTACGAACAGCTACACTAGATTGCGAAGGTGTACCATCATGCATGTACCACATATTGTTTCTTATTACTAACGCAACATCATCAAGCAGCAAAGACAACTGTTGTTGAAGAATATTGAGGTAAGTCTGTCCGTCAAGTCGTCCCGGCAAGTACAATGGGCCAATAAAGTGGTTGCCAATCATTCCTGTCCATAAGTTAACCGAAAATTGGTGTTGGAAAAGGGTTTCGGTTACGGAATAGGGATTTTCTTCTGCCCACAAATTATTATTGTGGAAATTCTGAATGGCATTTTGAGAAAAATTAGCTTACCACTGACAAAAGGTCACACGCCCTGGAAAATCAATGGGAAGTAATGCTTGTAGTCTTAAAATATGGTAAGGATATAACAAAAGATCCACTAGAATTCTCCAAACAATTTGATGGCAAATATTTAAGTGTCTAGCGATCTTCCTCGTACTCGTTTCAGGATGTTCTACGACTTCGTGCAGCACTGCTTCCTCAATTTCAGGTGTTCTCACAGTTAGAGGTCTACCTTCAGATGTTCGTTTTCGGACAGAACCAGTTTCAACAAGACGACGATGAATATTAGAAAAGGTTCGACTATCTGGCAAAGCACGATCTGGATATCTCTGGTGATAAATCCGTCTGGCTTGCTCACCATTACCGTCGGCAAGGCCATATACTTAATGCATTTCCGTCATTTCTGCATTTGAATAATTCAGCATTATTAACAGTATTGTAAAAACTAAATAATAAAAAAGATGTCACAGCGAACAGATTTGAATAACAGAGACTTGTCAGATGTCAAAAGCCAGTGACATATTCCAGAGGAACTAATTAGGTATTTATTTTTAAATTGCATTCTTCAATTATTGCATAAATTTTCTGGGACTGTATAACGGTTTTTATTATTTTACTCAAAAAATGGCGCATTAAAAGAAAGCAATACAAGGAAGGTCATTTGTTTTAAATTGAATAGAGAATTCAAAAATAATTTTTATTTGGCAAAAAAACATTTTTTTTTTAAAATATCGATGTCAATACACGTACGCACGCCACTGTTGAAGCTAAAACTTATTTTTGCATTGAGAAATATGCAACTTGATTAACTTTCACTACGTACTAAATATCAGTGAAATATCTGAAGCGGTTCACACCCCGAGTTTTTGTAAGGAAATATTTTTGGACCATAGTTTATTAAGCAAACTAACATTAATTTTACCCCTAAATATTCGCATATCATTAAGGAACACCATGTATATATAATGAATATATAAAATTAAAGAAATAAAGGTATGAGTAAATCAAAACAAAATGGGAATTAACATAAAATTACTTGTTGACATCGTGATGAGAACGCAAATTATTTTCCTTCGTTTCCTGTTTTATTGTCTTACACTAGCAGTACACAGTGCTGTAGAACATCTGAAAGCTTGCAAAAAAATACATTTTGTAAGTCATTTATACGATTTTCAGTATAAAATCGTTTTTTGGGCCGCTGATTTCAATCTTGGTATTACTTTGTTTTTATGGAGGCATCCGAAGGTCACTTTGAAGTCTTGAGAAGGACATTTTCAAAAGAATCCAAACAGTTGAACCCAATCGCATGTCATTTTTGTTTTTCTGATTGATTAGTATAAATCAAAGGTCACTATGAGGCATCTGAAGGTTATTTCAAATTCACTTCAAGGATTAGCATGATAGCGAAATTTGCAGATAAAATGCTTGTCTGGTGCGCAATTTCTGACAGGTGTGTATCTCAATATTTTGTGGGAAGAGTGAGGGGCGAAGCTTTGAATAGTCAAAGCTATATTGAGCTTTTCCAAATTGCTTCAATTTGTCCACGAACATCAAGCTAATCACCATATCATTTTTGGCCAGACTTAGCGTTATGCCTTTACTCAAGAGATACCCAAATCTGGTTTCGACAACACAAACATACCTTTTGTTCCCAAAAACGATGATCGTACAAACTTGTCGCAGGCTCGCCTAATAGAGGATTTTTGGTCTTTCCTGTCTAGGCTGGGAAAAACTAACAGAAATTGATCTGAATACTGTCCAGAACCTCATGAGAGACATTCGAAGAAAGTTGTGTCTGGTAGAACAGAATGGGCCACTCTACATAATTCGATAGTAACATATAGTTTAGTTAAGTATGGAGTTGTAGTTTATGGCAACTGGTTAGTGTTTAAGTCAATTTTTTCATTAAAGAAAATTCCAATAAATATCTTCTGCCAGAACTTTTAGGACATACGTTATAGTTTTCATTGATTCGACCACAGATGACTAGCCATAGATAGCTGTTCGTGCTATTTGGTCTCTCGTCAGTATGATCTAGGTCTGGCCTCAGCTAAGACAACGAGCGAAAGCTGAGCAACTAAATGAGACCGTTGTGACCTTGCTGACAATGCAACATGGGACACAGCTACAACAAGCAGCTTGCTGCTTTTGCTTTCGTAGTAGTCAATTCTGGTTAAATAGAAGATACTCAGCTATCATTCATTCGATGTCTTACGTAAGGCCAAGCTGAGGAGCTGCCAAATAGCAAGAAACAGCTGTCCATGGTTGGTCGTCTGCGGTAGTTATAATAACACTCCCACTGATACACATAAGCTAATAACCGAGATTCCATCAAAAATTCTCTTTTCACTAAAAATACTCGATAGCCACTTCACCTCTTTGTGCTAAGCATCCGCTTATCTAGCTCAACACCACGCGTACAGAAGATAATCAACATGATAATGGAAAAAGCGGAAACTATAGTGCGCTTGTTGCCGCTGCTATGCGCTTGACTGTTTCGGGAATCTATTAGAAGCCTCATTTTTCAATCGGGCGTTCCGAATACTGCGCGAGCCAGAATTTCATCGACGTAAAAGCGCTATTATCATCATTAGTGAGGTGTTTACAGTGCTGGCTGGGGTAATTTATCGCGACAGCTACTTTGGTAATTAGAAGGAACTCCCGGAGATCGAACGCAGAAAGGGGATGTGTTGTAGTGGTGCTATGGGGTTCGGTTTTATTTCGGCTATCCATTGCCTACTGACTTAGAAGAAAGGACACCCAGTAATAATGAACTTCTTATAATATATATTATCGTGGTTTTCGTGATATCGTCTGCTTTTGCAAAGAAACTAAGGGATTGTTATTTTTTTAATATACGGAAGCAGCCACGCAGGCAGAAGCCAAAATTCCAGGACCCCGTGACTGCTATGAGTATCAAAATAAATTTTGTTAATTAAATCAAATTTTGAAATCACAAGATTTTTGCGTCCCCAGGCAGTGACAGCCTCTGGTCAGAGAGGAAGTCGCTGCTAGTCTTCTTTTTTCTAGCTTACTGACACGAGATCGGCTTGTCGCTCCGATTTCCTGCATGTAGAGTGCTGTCTTCAGCAAAGCTGTGGATTGAGTTAATCGTACAGGAAAGGGAGTCATTGATATGTATGAGGAACGGTGCCGGAGACAAAAATGATCCCTGGGGAACACCCAAGTTGACGTTGTAGGTTGAAGAGGAGAACCAGTTAATTACGCCGGAGAAGCTATAGGATGGAATCTTGCATAAGAGCGTGTCACAGCTGATCGAACGCTTCCGTGATATCAAGAGCAACGACATGAGCCTCAGCATAAGACTCTGTGGATCGCTGGTACCGAAAACCATACTGCGAGTCCCTAATCGAGCGGTGACGTTCGAGGTAGTCCAGAAGCTCGCGATTTATTCACCTCTCCATCACCTTACTTAAAACAGAAAGCAGAGCTATAGCCTGTAGTTGTAAGGGTCGGTCTTAGATCCCTTTATTGGGATGGGTTGGACATGAGCAAATTTCCAGTTTTCTGGGAAGGTGCCGGAATCATAAGATATCTGGAAGAGGCGCGAAAGAACTGGAGCAAGCTCCGCTGCAGACCCCTTCAATACAACGGCAATCATGCTGACGATATTTTTCTTTTTCACTCAGTTCGTCTCGTATAACATTCTCTTCCAGGAACATTCCTTACGAGTATTTGGAAAAAATGCACCGAAACAAATTTCCTATAAGTTATGTGCCTCACTGAAAGTATCATTGCTTTTACTTCATACGAGATATTGCATTCTCTATTGTTATATGACATGTACATCACGGAAAATCATGTCACTCATTTTGCGTCGATTTGTCGGTCTGTGTGTATGTCCTCTAATGAAATTCTTACACAAGGTTACTACTATTCCAAGCTTTGTTGCTTTTGAGAATTGGCTTAGTGGCGGCGGAACGACAGGTAACAGCACGGAAAAGTAATTGGGGGTTGCAAGGGGTGGGAGAAAGTGTTTATCAATTTTTAATGCTATTATATTTAGTATATTTAGCAATTGTATGCACCTATCAGGCATATTTCACACATCATAGATTCCCCAGTACATTGGTCTTTAAAACTAGTTGATAGAGAAACATTCCTATATGTGTCTCCTTCTGCTACCTGTGCTCCCCGTCAGGCGTACCGGTATGGTTGATTGTTCTGCTCGCACTGCAGCGACCTTGCGCAGATATGGCAAGGGGCAATGCTAACTATCAGTAGTCTATGTTCTATATCTATGGATAGGCCCATACTTGTTTGTAGCTAATGTTTTTCTCAGAGGGCTTAACTTGTTCTGAACTTAATACGTACTGTATGTCCTAATACGGGCGTTACGTGTACGGTCAACCTACTTGACGCCATTTATTTACATCACCTAGTACATTTCAAAAACCGAGATCGACCATACACAAAACTTCAAAGCAACGACGGTTCATGTACAGTTACATTGTTTTCGCCATATTGCTTGTTCGCTAACCTAGCTGATAATAACATAATGATGAACTTCCAGATCTAGATGCACCCAGTTCATCTCGCGACTCATCATACGCATATCAAGATTTCATTTGTTCCTCTCGCCAACTCCTTATTGTCAACATGCAGATTCTAATAATGTAGCATCTCTTCTAAGCATAGGCGTACCGAGGCTTGTTCCCATAAGGGTAGAACGTAAGAAATGATACAAGGTGGTCCCCGGGAGCGAGAAGTTTAAAATACTTTATGATTCTAAAGGCAACTTAATTTAAATAAAATACAGTATAGCATTAACAAACTAGTAATATGCCATTTTTATGTCTTAAAAATAATACCGCTTAAATAATAATAATAATAATAAATGGCCTTTATTCGTCACATGATTACAAAATAATTGACTTAAGAGGAATAGTGACGAAAAGGTGGAGTGTCAGCTTATGCTGTTTTTCAACCCGACCTAAAAAACATTGACACGAGCTATAAAGATAAAAAAAAAGTACCTACATTTAAATAGCATAGTTCACAACATTGGCCACCAAAACTAGAAAAGCTAAAAATACTACACTTCTCAGAAGAAGGAAACAATCAACTACCCATGGATATGCGTAAAGTCAAATTCTAGCCATCCGATTGCTTTAAACTCATCTTTGACCTTTTTTTAAAATTGCTTAGGCGATATTCTTTATACTCACTTGACAAGCAGTTATATAGTTTGGGTGCCCAATACGAGAAATATCCTCCCCTTCTCTGTATGCACTCTTGAATTCTTTCATAGAAATTCGCCATAACACGATGCAACATATCCACATGAATCTTAGCAATTTCTTCGATAATGTTTCTTTTAAGCTCCTGAATGGCTCTTGGTTTATTAATGATCACCTTTTGCTTTATGCGACCTTGGCGGCCAGTCAATGTCTTCTCGTCTGGAAGTAACATGCTGCGGAAACTATCTTTGCAAATAGCCATCCTGCTGGAACCCTATTTGATTACTATGTGAAAATCTTCTCAAGCGGTGACTCAAAAAGTGGTTTATCATATCGGTATAACGCACAGAGTTAAGGAAACAGCACTCTCATTCTCATCTTCAAAAAAGTAGTGCACTACACTTCCCACTGAAGACATGACACACCATACCATCACTTGTTGGCTATGTAATGGTTATTTATAACTAATAACGATAATTTTGTTTTTTGGTATAGCCAGATAAATGGAAGTGCGCCTCGTCAGGCATCCACAAGTTGTGTATATCGATTTCAACCAAAGTTTCAGCAAAATGTAAACGAGCCAGGATGTCTGTTGGTTTCATTGCTTGGACAATATGAATTTTGTATGGATGAAGATTGGGATCTTTATGCAAAATTCGAAGTAAAGATGTACGAGGGTGGTCCCAGAAGTACCCGACCCAACGAAGAAAATACAAAAATTTTGTAAAAAAATGTATTTATTTTTCAACATAATCTCCTTTGAGCAATATACACTGTTCCCAGCGATGTTCAGTAAGTTCGATACCCTTTTTATAATAAGAACTGTCTTGCTCATCAAAATAGTCAGTAACTGCCGACATCACTTCTTCATGGTTGGAAAATCTTTCACCACTGAACCATTTTTTCAAGTTTGGAAACAGAAAATCATCCGAGGGGGCTAAATCTGGTCAATAGGGTGCATGAGGGAGCAACTCAAACTTTAATTCGTTAATTTTGGCCATTGCAATAACGGATTTGTGAGCTGGTGCATTGTCTTGATGAAACAACACTTTCTTCTTAACCAAACCGTGGCCGTTTTTGCTTGATTTCATCGCTCAAGCGTTGCAATAAGTTCGCATAATATTCGCCGTTGATAGTTTTACCTTTTCAAGATAGTCAATGAAAATTATCCCACGCGCATCCCAAAATAGCGACGCCATAACCTTGCCTGCAGATGAAACGGTCTTCGCTTTCTTTGGAACCGGTTATCCCTTTTGAGTCCATTGTTTTGATTGTTCTTTTGTCTCGCGTGTGAAGTGATGGACCCGTGTTTCATTCATTGTTATGAAACGACGCAAAAATTCTGCTTTGTCGCTGTGAAACTTCGCTAAACACTCAATTGAAACATCTTCGCGACACTGTTTTTTCTCGATTGTGAGCAATCGTGGCACCCATCTTGCACATAGCTTTCTCATGTCCAAATTTTCAGATAATATGCGATGAACCACACTTTTTGAAACGCCTACTATGTCTGCTAGCTCGCGCACTTTCAGTCGACGATTATGTTATACACCGCGGATCTTCAAGATACTGTCAAGCACTGTCATGTGCAATTCTTTGCCGATGACACTCAGGTAAAGTATGATTTTCCAGCCTCACGCTACTCTGAAGCCCAAGACCAAATCAATAAGATTTGTCAAGCATTAGCCGCTATTGCAAGTTACATAACTTCTAGCTCAACCCATCGAAGTGTAAAGCCTTACTATTTGGTAATATCAAAATAAGAGCAAATTGACGTTCAAATCGATGGATTTATTTTTTTTATTTAGATGAAGACCTGAGGTTTGAAAAACACTTACAGCACGTTTTGAGGCAATGTTACGGTTCGCTCCGGCTTCTATTTGCAAACAATTACATCACTGGTAAGCAATTGAAAAAACAGCTATGTGAAAGCTTGGTATTGTCTAAGATTTCGTATGGGCTAATAATTTATTACCCCTGCCAAAATACTTGTAGTAGGTACATAAATAATTTGAGGAAATTTGATCATATATCGCATACGTATTCTGACCTCAATTGGTTAACTATAGATAATCTATACAAATATTCTGTTATAAGTTCTGTGCATCGTATTTTACTATCCGCATCACCCCCATACCTGTTTGAAAAATTTATTACCAGATCCAGCACGCATAATATTAACACAAAGCATCAGGCTTTCTTTATACTGCCAGTCCACCGTACTGTTTTATATTCAAGTACCTTTATTTACAATGCCGTTAAATATTACAACAGTATTAATTTTCATTTTAAAAATATTGCGAATATTAAAACTTTTAAATTGGAATTGAAGTCCGATCTTCTCTCGCAAACATGAATTGCCACTCATATTTTTTTTTTATTGGTTAATGATGGTTGTTTAAAACAAACCGATTTAAATGTATGTACCATAGTTAATGTCATCCATTTCTATGTAATTTCGTATAAATTATCAAAACGGGGTTAGGTGGAAGAATAGCTGACGCTAAACCTCGCCCCTCGTAATGTACTAAATGTTTAGTGCAATAAAGACCCTTTATTATTATTATTATTATTATTATCATTATTATACAGTACCGCTTTGTGAATTTTCTTCACCATTTCTGGAGTCGTCAGCTCATTTGGTCGACCACTGCGATGCTCGTCTTGGCAGCTCATACGGCCTCGTTTAAACTCTGCTACCCAATATTTTACTGTTGTAAACGAAGGAGCAGACTCACTCAGAGTAGAATCCAGTTCAGCTTTTATATTGGTCGGGCTCAGGCCTTTGAAATAAAAGTATTGTACCACGATGACCAATTTTCTCCATTTTCACAAATTCACTGAAAACGTTCAGTATTGATGGCTGCCAAACAAATACTAAACAACGTGGCATCTTCAAACTATCGCCATCTCTAGGTCAGGCTGGGTACATCTGGGACCACCCTCGTATTACAAATTCTTAACGCTTGGCTCGTTTCCGGGATGAACGTTTTGGACTGAGTTCCACAGATATTCTTACAGGATCGATGTTCTCAGGCTTTCGTACACTTTTCTTTGGTCCTTTATGTTTGACATTGACAGCTGAATCTGTTTGTTCATTCACGAACCCATTCCTCTATAGCGTGAGCCGAAGGCACTCTGCCATGACGACCAATTTGGAAATAAAGTCGGAAATGTCGCTGAGCGGCAGCCTCACAGTTATTGTTTTTATAGTACGACCTAATTACAAATGCACGTTGCTCACCAGACCACTGCTTCATGATTACCAAATGGCATACAGTGACATATAGTTTCGAAAAACAATCCATAGCCAACTATGCATAGTTATGGAATAACAACATTATCAAAACTTCCCGCTCCCGGGGACCACCTTGTACAATGCACTGTTTGAGTTGAACCTCTAATCGCAACTACGAATAGTTCTTTTAGAAATATTTTTCTTAGCAGCACATGTATAACGATTTCGAGATAACCGATTCATTCGGTTTCGAAAAATCTGCGAATAGCAACTTGCTCCTGCCTGCAGCAGATAATTAGCTGATGAAGTACAATCAGTAATTAAACCAGATGCTGTGTCGGTTAACCGTTGTTTATAATTCAGATTTCAAGAAAAAGTCATTTCCATTCGTTGCTGATGTATTAAGCTATTTTTTATGGAGGTTCTTATCCTGCTCCGAATGAAACATAAAGACCGTTTGGACAAATATTCGATGTTTGTACAGTAGAAGAACACTGAGCATTGAAAATGGAGTAGGAATCCAACAAATTTTGTATTATGCCACTGTCGAGGAGGTATTGTGATCGCGAAACATTTTGAAAGTAAGATAGCAACACGAAGGGACTAGTTGTTCCTCAGCTGAGTCAAGTTGTTCCGCTGTCAACTTCAGTCATTAATTAAATAATATTAGTTTATGGGGTATGTATAAAATAAATGATACAAGTAACAAATTATTTTTTATCATTAATCAAACGATCCGTCATCCGACTTATAATTCGGACAAACGTAGTAACGTATATTTTCAGAATGTATGCATTTTGAATGAGCCCTTACACGTAACGCATTCAATCCATTGTTCTCCTGGTTTTGAATTGGAAAATGAGTCGCAACATATCAAACAATACCATTCCAGAATGCCTTCTTCACTATCGCATTCATCATCGTCTTGTAAGACTTTCCATTTTCTTTACCAGTTGCATTCTTCTTGCCGACTCTTTTTTCAATTCTCTTTCCCTTTATTTTGCTACCGACTCTTCGTCTTTCTGCTTCAGTTAAAGCGTTCCTTTCAGGCGTGTCTGTCAGTATTGCAGATTTTCTAATTCTGCGCTTAGTTGCTGTAGACGATCTTGGTGGTGGTGGTGGTTTGATGGCTTCAGGGGAAAATATGAGAGATGCTACTTGATTGACTTTCTTTGGAAAATCAGTGATGTTCGAAGGTCCTGGTTGATGTTCGTTGATCATTGATCCTGTTGTTGCTGGACGTGGCTTAATACCTGGGATGGCTTCCATATTATAATCTAACTGATGCTCTCCAGAGTCTGCCATTCCTTGTAGCTTTGATTCTCCGTTATGATTCAAATCAATATGATGCCTCCAAGCTTCTTAAAAAATTCATTGACATTGTGCCGGTTAGAAGAGGATGCACGTCCTGCACTTGTAGCGTCAGGAGTTCTAATGGATAAAGACGTACGAGCTCCTTCCCACTTCAGTTGGCCCACTTCAAGATTTTTATAAAAATGTGCCTTTATAAACTAAACATGACGAAACTATTTACTTCTAAAACAATAACTAATAGAACATCTGAACAAACAAACAATGTGCGGATAAATGCGCGAAGTTAACAAAGCAACATTTGAAAGATTACCATTGGGTAACATCACCTTTATTTTTTATTACGGCTGAAGTTCTTTGGGGCATAGGGTTAGCCAAGTTTTGGCAAAAAACAATCCCATATTTCTTGAAGCTATTGTCTCACTTCTGTGATTGTACGAGCAGGACGTTGTCGTAGAACCTTTTTCATCTCGTGCCACAAAGTTTCAATAGGTGACAGATCTGGACTGCTAGAAACCCATTTCAAAAGTGGTAAATTATTTTCTTTCATCCATTTTATAGCCTTTTTTGAGGTATGGCACGCTGCACCATCTTGCTGAAACACAAAATCTTAGCCGGATGTCAAACATTCTTCCATCACTGGTAAAAGCGATTCTTCTAATATTGCCAAATATTTGTTTGTATCCACATTTCCATCAATAAAATGAAGTTTTCCTACTCCTTTTGATGACATCACTCCATTGTATTGCACACCATTGTTGAGGTAGGTATCCATTGTCTATGTTCTTTAGCACATCAAAGCCGATTTTTCTTTAGCAGTGGAGTTAGTGGCTTTTCTTTGGCCTATAAGCAAGTTGTGCAACTTTATGGTTTTTACTTCTTTTATTTTTATAAGAAAACTTACCTTGCAAGTGCTAAATCCCAGTTTGTGGGCCTCTCTATCAGTTGTGGACCTCGAATTTTTCTTTCGAACAGCGTCACTCCACAGAGCACTTAATTGTAAATAATTGGCACGCCTGTTTTTCTCGATTATTCTTCTTAATGCTCTTCGGTCGGCATTTGTGATTTACTTTTTTTCAGAAATCGTGGCTTAATATTAACTGAACCAGTTACGTTATATCTTCTAGCAATATTTCTCACACTGTACCGCGATAAGTCTAACAAAGTTGCAATTTCTGAGTTTGATTTCCCAAAATTAAAAAATTTAATTATCAGTAACCGAATTTTCTCACTAATAACCTTTCCTCTACCCATTTTGAACACCTTAACTACCCAAAACTATTTTAAACGTATTCTGACAGCTGTGATTAATAAAAAAATGGTCATGGCTTTTATTTTTCACAGCCACCTATGCGTTATTATAGACTTATTTTGCATTGAAATGAAAATAGGTTGATATGCTGTAATTGCAACATGTGTTATTTTAAGCTGCAAATTTGATTAGGGAGTGATAAATTTGGTGTTTTCTACTATATATTACCAAAATATTCATTGGTTATATTTTAAACCAATAACACCCTGCTACATTTTTATCATTTGTGTTTGATAAGAAAAAAACTAAGATTTCAATAGTTGGGCCAACTGAAGTGGGAAGGGGCTCGTATTTATTTTCAGAAAACCCGTCAACGAATCAGCTCCAGCTTCGTTATTTCTATGCCAAGATTCAGGAATTTTACGCGTGTCAAATTTGACAGCAGAGGTATATGCTAATTTCCTCAATTCTTCTGAAAAGAGACCAAAGTAAATTGACGCACATTTCAACGAATATTCGGCCAATATCTTTTCCATGTTGTTGTTGAGCACCTGTCTAGAATAATAACCAACAGTTGGTGTTATACCGGCCTTCAACTTTTTGACGTAATGAAATATCCCAACTAACAATTATCACTCCTATTAGAGTTGCAAGAATGATTATTGATTATACAGTATTCCTTACACAGCGTTGTATACTGTAAGAACATTGGCAAAACCATCTTAGAACAGCTATACAAGTGGAATGGGCACACCTAATAGCAGACTTCAGTCATTTAAGAGGTTGTATAAGGGCTGCAGTTATACAACAAAAGTGTAAGCCTCTTGCAGCCGCTATAGGACATTTGCGTCAGTGCAAGATACAGTTTTTGTCAACTATACAACTATTCTGTTACATGATTCTACTTTATTGCAACCAAACTATTTCTTATGTATTGTATAGACGAAGTAAAGAATATATAACTAATACAGTACAGTCATCTTGTTTACTTACTATCGGTCATTGTAAATTTCATACACAGGTATATGATAAACTTTTACACTGTGATATAGGGATATTGAATTACTTGCGCAACAAATTTTATTGTGATTATCGTGCAA